TTAATTTAATAATAAAATTTGAGCCAATCAAAATTAATCACCTCATTGATAATTAGGAAATGATCGACATAAGAATTAACCAATCATACAAATGTCTGCCATGCTCAGTATGACTATCAGAGAAATTGCTCGTTCATGTCTCAATTTAAAATTTCTAGATTTGGATGGGTGTGAAAATATTAGCAAAAAAGCCATACACCAACTAAATCCAAATATTCATATCGAAAATTTTGATGAAGAGTATTGCTCTGATTCAGAATCTTCTAGCTCTGGCTCCGAAACTGAATCAGATGATGAGGATATCTATAGTAATACTGCGCCTTTTCCTGTGTTTATAGGTACGATTGATACTACAAACGATTTTATTTCTGAACTTCTTAATCAGAATAGTGATCACCAGCTCAGAAGAATTTGCTGATCTATGCATAGCGTCTGTCTCTTCATTTTTTTTCTTCGAGATTTTCTTGGCAAAACTCGTGAACAGTGTTCACAGGTTTTCTGAAATTTCAACGACCTTAGGTCGCCCAAAATTACGTGAGATTTTTTTATTTTGAATGCTTATCCATATACAGTGCAAAGATATATTTATAAAAATGAAATCTGAGCTTGATTCGCTTAGGCAAGAAAATGCTAGACTTATAGCTAAGATTAGCGAGATTGAGAGTGAGAAGTTGGAAATAAAATGGATGCTTGAGGTTAGAACCAATGAGTTTCATAATACTATAGCAGAATTTACAACCAAGATTGGAAAACTTAATGCTGAAATAGTAGAGCTAAAGAAAAATGAGTCAGCTATCCTTAAACTCAAGTCCAAAAATGTTGAGCTTAGAGATAGAGTTGGGAAATTGGAGCAGGATTACAGGCAGATGCAAAATGGCCTGCCTGATATCTCTAGTACCCTTTCAAGCGTGAGTGAACAGAAGGTATCAGAAGAAATAAGTGATTGTTTGCTTAATCAAATACCGATATCAGAAGTATCACCTACCAATAAACCTGAATCTGTTATAGTTCAGCCTGAACAGTATAATCCTAATGCAGAAGATACTTTCTTAGATGAGGAATACAAGAAAAGCGTTAGTAATGGGATAAGGCAACGCAATAAAGAGAAGAAACAATTGCGTGAACAGACAGATATGAAAGAAGAGGCTTTCCAGCAAAAAAGTAAACAGATGGGTATTCGAGAAATAACTTTATCCATAGAAGAGGATGAAAAACAGCCGAAAGGTGCTTCACATGTGACTGAAATTTCAGCAAGTACTGATCAGCTAAAACAGGATATTTTCAGTCTTTACCATCACGCATGTGAAGCTGAAAAAGACGCAATCAAAGCCAATAGAGAAGAAACATTACGTTAGTGTTTCTATGCAAGAGAATTCAAAAACATGTATAAAGAATATATGGTCAGCAATAAAGTTGAGGAGAAAAAGGCGAAGGGACAAGTATATGATTATATTGTTAAACATCTCTCAAATATCAAGCGTAAAACCTTATGTAGGCAGACACAAAAAGCTTTAAGAATCGATAATTTATTCAATAAAATAGGTGAGGACAAGATTTATTATATCAAAACGTATAATGCCGATACTATATCAAAATTCACTAATTCTCAGATTCAAACGATTATAGATCACTTCACTGAAAAGCCTAATATAGAATTTGCTGATGATCCTGAGGAACAAGATAACTCTATTACTGATTCTGAAGAGGCATCGGAGACGCAAACGAAACCCTTAATTTCAGCTGAGGATTATCAAGATGTATATTTTGATAATGATCCCATACCTCAGTCAGTGAAAGAAACAAATGAAGAGGTTACTTCGCAATCAGATAGGGTAGATGATGATGGTGACTGTAGTCATGACAATAATTCTGAAGAAGAAATGCTAGATGATTCAGATGATGAATATAATGAATACAGTGGATACAGTGGATACAGTGAAGGTTACTATTATCATGATAGAAGATACGAAAGAAAAATCTCACCAATGATGAGTCCTATTATATCTCCGGTAACCGCCTAGGAGAATTATTGGATGAATTGCATACTCGCATAGACTGAATTATCATATAGGTTATTTCTTTTTTCGAATTACGTGGGTGGCTTAGATATCATTTGCAGTACGATATCAGGAAAATTCTTGCCGGCTTTCTATATATCATGTGCAGTAAGTACATCATCTCTATACTTCTCCTGTGATTAACTATGTTCTGTGCTATTTCCGCGGTGTTTTTATTTTTAGATGTGCTATTTTCGTAATAATGGCTAGGAGGATTAACAGAGTGCTATTTTTGTAACAATGAAACTAGGGCCAAGATCTTATGAAATGCCATCAGATATTTCACAAATCTTTGGGGACAGATTGTGAGGTTAGATCAATAAATAATTAATCTGATAGTGATGATTTTTTTTCTGGAAAGTTCTGACATCAAAAAATGGAAAGAAGATTAGCAACGTGATGAAGAATCTATCCAAGCGTTACTAACTAACCTACCTTTTTAGATTTATTTTCGTATAGCAATTTTGATTGATGAAAGTAAAGGTAATTATAAATTTATTGATTAGTTTCGTTTGATTTAAGCAGAGCGGATAAAAGAATCAACTGATAAGGCTTACCTCCTTTTTAAATGATATATACCGCATGATCTTGGAATTAGCAAGTGATGATTGCATCACGAAATATGAACTGAAAAGTTTATCACAGCAGTGATATGGATAATTTGGTAATTGTGCCAGTTCACCGCTTCATATTTTGTCTTGCCACAAAATCGAAGTGGAATGCAAGTTTGATTAACACATGTGTATGAAATTATAGCAGTCAACGAATGATAACTAGCCTTTCATAATGATTAGTAATGAAAATCAAACTCCTTTTGACAGATTACCAAGATCTATCACAATCTCTTACTAAATGCAGGAATAAATGCTAAGATGATTATCCCTCATAAACATGTCTAGGGTAGTAGTTAATCAGAAAATAATAAAGAAATGAAAACAGGGACTGAAAATGATACTAGCACAGAACTTTTTGTGATCTCAACGTAATTGATTGACTACGTGTGAAAAATATACTTTTCGCAAGAATTCTTTTATTGCAGAAACAGATTACAAAAGATTTTTTTCTGACGGAAACGAATTGATTTTTAATAAATCATTACCATATAAGTAATAAAGGAAGATTTATCAAATTTCTTGTATCATAACCAAAGATAATTTCTTATATGTTGTTCGTTATTTGTAATACCAAATTTTAATTTTCTTTTCAACAACCAAGTTTGAATCACTTCTAATACGTATCAAGATAGTTAGCCAATAATAATACCCAGCTCGCAGACTTAATACAAACGTTAACTAATTTTTTTTGACGACTTTTTCCAGTCCTTCTCAAACTTTCTTAATTCATCTTTAAAACCTTTTTCTTTTTGAAACCCTTTCGTATACCAAACACTTGTTGTACAAGTGGTGCTAAATCATGTGATGAACATAACTCGTTCAAGCCAATTTTATCTGATAGTACCACATTGAGAAGCTTGGAAAAAGGAAGTCCTGAAGGGGTTGGGAAACCAAGGAAATACGCAATCTCATCTTCATTAAAATATACACATGAGAAGAAGAATTTAGCCGTTGGATCCTCTTTCAGGCGAAACCTGGCATTTTCGGAACTGCCAAAAGTTAAAAGATCATTGACAAAAATTTGGATTTTGTAAAATAACTTGTTTTCTGCATGCAACATTTTAAGTTCAGTTTGGTAATTAATTGACTTTTCACAGGTGGATGCAAACAGTTCAAGCATCTTGTCGGCACCTTTTGATAAGTACGGTAAGAATCAGTTTTTTTTTTAGGGTATTCCTAAATTATATCATTCAATGGCGCACCTTTATGTTCACGCAGGATATAACGAGTTCAGATTAGGCGAGTAAGCTGAACCGTTGCAATTTCTCCATTTTTCATTTCCGCTGACAAAGAAATATTGAACAGGTTCAACCCCTCACCGAGCTTTGATATGATAAAAGTTTGAAAATAAGACTGGCTGACAGCTATGTTCTCGATGGTCATAATTTCCTCAGGATTAAGCTCACTTAGTTCAGTTCGAGTAAATAGATCTGTTGTATTATCCGCTGGAGTCGACAATGTCAATTGCAACAATCTTAACTTTTGAAGATTTATTGTAACATGATCAATATTGTCGCACAAAGCGCAAGACACTGAATTTGATAAAGAATAGTTTCCAGGCCAGAAGACAACAAAATATTTTCAGGGTTTAAGTAATATGATGAGAGAACAACATTTAACATACGATCATCGGGGATTCTTAACCAGTCTTCTTCTGAGAATACCTAAATCCAGCAAATATTATCGGGACTGACATTTAATGTGGAACGAAGAGTCTCAAGAGTAATCTTCTCCATTCCTTTGACATCTAGAGTGGCGGAGTACTTCTAACCACTTCTTCTTGAACTAGATTTATATGAGTCATCATTAGCGGAATCATCACGTCATTTGCGGAGATTTCTTATATTAGTACACGAGTGCCTGTGACTATACATAAAGTCAAAATGGATAATTTCGGATATCCGAAAAGGTCGAAATGGTTGAAATCATTTCGACCATTGAAGGCTAAAGTCGCGAAATAGTCGAAATAACGTCATATCACATGATTTTTCATATTGAGAAAAAACAATAAACAAAAAATGTACGATCTCGGTCAATATCGCACCGATTCGTATGAAACAACTACCATTCGATTCCTTGCGACTTGACGGATCCAATGAGCTAACATTCATTGATTTTGGATCATCCAATCGCGAGATAATCGCAATTGTATTTTCGGCTGAAATTATGAATCAATAAATTCTACTTTAAATAAAGGAGTCTGGTGATCGCTAATATCTCGAGATGGGCTGATCCAAATCAATGAATGATAGCTCATAGGATTCGTCTAGTCGAGGGGAATCGAATGGTAGTTGTTTCATACGAATCGGAGCGATATTGATTGAAATCGTACATCTTTTGTTTTTTTTGTTTTTTCTATATATAAAAAATCATGTGATATGATGTAATTTCGACCATTTCGACTTTTTATTTCGACTTTGACCTCCAAAGTCAAAATATTTCGACTTTTGGGTTTTCATTTCGACTTCATGTATACTGTGACACAATAATACAGCCAGGAATTTTACCAAATATAGAATTTTTAAATATGACTAGGAAACGAAAACAACACCATGTAGACCGTCACCCGAAATGCACAGTGATTAAGTTTTATAGAATTTTTTTTCCGGAATAATCTCCTTCTTATAATGTCAAAGCGGAGCCTAAGGAAAGAAATATAGGTATTGAATTCTTCTTGTATTGCAAGTTCGAGAGACTCATTCAACTAATTATTACCTTGTATTGAGGAAGGAAAAAATTCTTCTCAGGATTAACATTAAAAAAAAAATCGCAATGGAAGTATTGTGAAAGGAAGAGTTCTTTCATAAAAGAAACATTCTCAAAGCCGTAGCAAATTTCATCTAGAACTTTCCCTTATGTACTAAAGCCCCTGGTCTAAAAATCTATTAACCAGATTGCCAATTTCTTAGTCGCACTACATAACATAAAGATAAGGTGGGATATAGTCTTTTTTTTATTTGCTTCGTGTTTAATTCAAAAATACAAACTATCAATATTATACTTATCTTTTCATCAATAGTCCTTCGAGAGGGAAGAAAAAAAATCTTCTCTGGATAGTTTCTCGACACGGGATGGTGATAAGTATTTCGAGGAATGTATTACAGAAATAAATAAGAGGTTGAGGAATTATGGAACTTTGCGTCCGGATAGTTTGGAAGCCATGCGTAATGAATATGTCGCATCAATACTACATACGACACTCCATATTGTCAGGGACAAAACAAAGAAAGAATTCAGCATGCACCCCCAACATGAAATTATTAGAGAAAAAAAAGTTCCAGACGAGTTGACTATGCAATCAGGGTATAAGAATTTTTTTATTCTGAGCTTATGTTAATTTATCTCTGATCATGAACTATGTGAATGGGTGGATAGGAAGCCGAGAACCTTATTTGCATTACAGAGGATAAACAGCATAAAGTTCTCATGAGCTTTGCTCAAAATATCAAACAGCGAACTGGCTCAAGTTCGTATGAAACGAATAAGAAGAAATGAACCCAGAATGAAGCTTTTGGAGATGATGACTTCGACTATTTGTATGGTATAGTCACCACTGTGAGAGATTGGCATTTTTGTTGTATGCTCCCGAAAAATATTTCAAGCTAGCGAGAGTGCTTATACAATCGAATTTAACAAAAAAGCCCTGGATGCGGACTTCCGAAGAATATTAAGTTTTACGCAGGGATCTGGGAAAGGTTTTGGAAAATGATTGTTAGTTTATTAAGGGATAGGGTGTGCATTGATAAATTTACCAAGAGTAAGAGGGCTAAGGTAGATGAATATCAGGCAAAAAAAAAATAATCATGTATATTCTTCGCATGTATATTAGCATAGACGTCATGTATCCAGTTAGCTAAGCTAACCAATTTTTGTATTTATTTTTCGCATGTATCCTGGGCTATGTACCTGATCTTTTCAATGTATTGCAAATGAAAACTTTTTAACTATACATCTGATCTCTTAAATGGTCTATTTAGGTCCACTTCTATATGCTAAATTTATGCAATTTAATACAAGGTAATTTTGAAGATCGGGATTGGCAAATTATTGAATAATATGATTTCTAGCAAAAATCCAGGAACTTTCATGTTTTGCGATGATCGTAGCTCTTAACTGTGGAGGAATTATAATTATAAAAAAGCTTGGTAAATCGGAGGCATTTCTAGTAAGAAATAAAATAATATTAAAATAAGAAAAAGTTGCATATACTCCAATTCCTAAATCAATTTCAAATATAATAATTTATAAAATGATTCCTTTTACAGACATCTTCCTAATTGCACTCTTCTGCGCTGTAGTATTAATCTACGAGATGATATTCCAGGGAGTTATAACTATTGAGAATCTCCAAGCTATTTTTTCGGGAAATTTATTCCTGTATGTATTTTTTGCTGGAGCATTCATCTACTTTCGTAAACAACAGATTGGGAGAAATAGTGATCTTTCAAGATCCATCCTGATCCTAAATAACGAACTTCAAAAAATGCGCATTGAGAATGAATAGAGGAATGACGTCATTTCACAAGGTGAGTCCCTATGTGATTGAATTTCCTAGGACCTAGGCTATGCATGATCTAATCCACATCTTATTCTTCCCAGCCGGCTCTAACAGATTTTCTTCCACAAGCCATGTATCGCAATATTCTGAATATACGAACGAAATACAAATGTACTGGGTCGAGTTCACAGCCATATTTGATGAAAAAAGAAAAAGAGAGAAACGCTCTTCTACGCAGATGTACAATATACTATCTCAAGAAATCAAACTTAATCCTGCCACATTAGCCAGCTTCTATCATCATCAGAAAACCCCAAGAACCACATCAATAGATAAAATATTTCCATAGGTCGAAAGGGAGGGAAAAAGAGAGTTAGTTTTGCTAATAATAGTAGTAATAGCAGTAGTAACAATAATGGTAGTAATTAGTGGAGCCAAAGAATAGAAACAGTCATTGTCTTTTGGGACAGGCTTTGGGTCTGACTGTATTTTCCCATGCAACTCCACAAAAATTTATTATATTTTATATATCTAGAAATACG